GATGCTTATCAGACAGATGTTAAGCCAGATGTCTTGATATCTTGGCCTGTTATGTAGTAGGCGCTGCTGTTTTATCTCTTGAAGATTTGATTTGTTTTTAAGAAATGCTTTTGGATATATCTCATTAGGAACAAGCACACATTTTATTCGGTTTAATTAAAAAGGATCTTGGAGACTTTTTAAAAAACTTTAAAAATATTTGTTCTTATTTTTATGTGAATATCTTGCAGCGAATTTAAAAAGTGAAGATTGGATTCGATTTGAATAGTCCAGGCCCATACTGCAAGAGTCTATAAATAAAAAATTGCTAAACCTAAAATAGCAAGCATTCACATTGAAGAAACAGTGGGTAAAACATAAGGATTAGGGTTTTTAGAGTCTTTTAAGTTCTTTTTGTTTTTGTTCTTTGTATGTCACTCATGTATCTTTTGATACATTGAGGTTGATTGATTGTTCTCACTCATGAGAATTTAAGCAAAGAGTTGAATATTGTTCTTAGTTGAAGCTTTTAAGAAAAACTAAGTATTTATTTATTTGAAGTGTAATCTTATATTTGGTTGTTTTGGTCACAAGGTTTGTGATTGTAGGTATTATTTCGGTGATTGAAAGTGAGAGGGGGATCTCATATCTAGAGGTGTCTAGGTAGAATTTGCACAAGGTAGTGATTAGGCGAGAAGTTGTAAACTAGGGTTGGTTTAGCTTTGAACTAATATTATCATTGTGAATTTCCTTCCTGGCTTGGTATCCCCTAGAGTAGGTGACGTTGCACCGAACTGGATTAACAATTGATTGTGTTATTTAATTTTCTGCAATTTATTTTCTGCATAATCTCCTATTTTAGTAAGTTTCTGTCAGCAGATGATGTTGTAACATTTGTCCTGACATTGTGTTTTGTGTTAAGACATCAGTCTTAACATCTATATTTCAAGTTCTAGAATTTTAATTGACATCAGAGCAGGCACCATGTTCTGTTTATTGGGTGAGCTCCAGGGAGAATTTTTCTGGTACTATGGATTTTGAGGAAAGATTGTCAAACACTATTGTGTTACTTGGAAGTCCATTCAAAAATTTCTTGAAGAGATTGGAAAGGAAGAAAAGGTTACATGTCAAGATCATTTCATCAGACATCAGCAATGATCATGATTTCCAGAATAAACTCATAATTGAAGATATGTTTGATCAAAGTAAAGGAATTCAATGCCATGAATGTGAAGGACTTGGGCACATTAGAACAAAATGTCCTTCTTATATCAAGAGACAACCTAAGGGACTAACTGTTTCTTGGTCAGATAATGATTCTACTAAGGAAGAATCTACTAAGACTGTGACTGCCTTAACAGGAATATGGGATTCTAAGGAAGACTTCAGAAGTGAATAAATATCTCTTGATGAATTAACTACCTTCTACAAAGAACTATGCAACAAAAGTGAGAAAATATATCAAATGGGAGTAAAATAGAGGACGATCATAGATAAACTCCACCCTGAGAAGGATGAATACCTAGCTGATAACTCTGATCTCCAAAATAAAGTGACCTTATTGACATCTAAACTTGATAGTTTAATCAAAGCTTTTAGGATGTTGAATAATGGATATGATGTTCTAGATGATATTCTTTAATATGTGAAATGAGGGAAAAGACATACTGGAATTGGTTTTAACAATCAAAACTTGAAAAATAAAAATAAAACTCATGAGATAAAGTTTGTCCCTGCTAAAATGCATGATGAAAGCAAGATGTCTGGCCATATGTCACAACATCCTATCAGGTCACATGAAACTCAGACTAAAGTTGAGTTTAGGCCTTGGAGATGTTAGTTTTGTGGAAGAATTGGACACTCATGAACAAGTTTGTTACAAGCTTCATGGATATCCAAAACATCCATCTTAACCTAGTTCCAATTCTTTACTAACCAGGACTAAAAAGGAATGGAAAGTGAAAGATATTGTCAAAAATCCCATTGCTCATACATCTCTGAAAGTCTCATTTAATGAAGACTGGTATTTTGACAGTGGATGTTCTAGGCATATGACAGGTGTGTAACATTAAACCTCACACAACTAGTTATGTTACTTTTGGAGATGGTGCCAAAGGAGTTATTAAAGGTGTTGGAAGACTAGCTCGTGAAGGATCTCCTAAGCTTGACAAGTTCCTGTTTATGAAAGGTTTGGCTACCAATATGATAAGTGTTAGTTAGTTATGTGATCAGGGTTTCAAGGTAAACTTCACTAAGTCTGAATGTCTGGTCACTAATAAGGAAAATGAAGTGCTAATGAAAGGAGACATGTCTAAGGACAATTGTTACTTATGAACACCTCAAGGAATCAATGATACTTCCACTTGCATGTTGTCCAAAGAAGATTAAGTTACTAAGTGGTATAAAAAACTTGGTCATTTACACTTGAAGGGTATGAAGAAGATTGTGTCTAAAGAAGCTATCAAAGGCATTACTAGTCTCAAAATTGAGGAAGGAAGAATATGTGGAGACTTCCAAATTGGAAAGAAAACCAAGATGTCACACCAAAAGCTTCAACATTAGACCACCTCAAAAGTTCTGGAACTTCTGCATATGGACTTAATGGGACCTATGCAAGTTGAAAGTCTTGGAGGAAAAAGGTGTGTTTATGTTGTTGTTGATGATTTTTCAAGATTCACTTGGGTGAATTTCTTTATAGAAAAATTAGAATTATTTGATGTCTTCAAGGAGCTGTGTCAAAAGCTTCAAAGAGAAAAAGAGAGCAACATTATCAAGATCAGAAGTGATATTGGTATGGAGTTTGAAAATATAAATTTTGTTGAATTTTGTGCCTCTGAAGGTATTAGTCATGATTTTTCCTCACCTATCACTCCTCAACAAAATGGAGTTGTGGAAAGAAAGAATAAAACTCTACAAGAATCAGCAAGAGTCATGATTCATGCAAAGAAATTACCATATTATTTTTGGGCAGAAGCTATGAATATTGCTTGTTCACTTTAAGGACTAGAACATCAAATATTTTGTATGAGTTATGGAAAGGAAGGAAACACATAGTTAAATACTTTCATTTCTTGGAAGTAAATGCTACATTATGGTTGATCGTGAACAAAGAAGAAAATGGATCCTAAGAGTGATGAATGGATATTTCTTGGCTACTCTACAAACATCAGATCTTAGAGTTTTTAACACTAGAACTCAGATCATGATGGAGCCTATAAATGGTATGGTTGATAACTTAAGGACAAGCAGTGATCATAATGTTGAGACAATGTTGGAACATCAGTCCAGATGGATGATGAGTCAAAATATGGAAGAAGATGACATCAATACTGAGATTGTCAATGCTAAAATTAATAACAACTTAGTCTCAATCAGAATTCACAAATAACATCCTTAATAACTCATTATAGGAAATCTAGATCAAGGGATTACTACTAGATCAAGGGAGGTTGTTTCTAGTTCTCATTTTGTTTCTAAGATTGAACCCAAGAATATAAAGGAGGCCTTAACTGATGAATTATGGATCAATTCCATGCAAGAAAAACTTAGTAAGTTCAAAAAGAATAAAGTTTCAGACCTAGTTCCTAGGCCTAGTGAAACAAATGTCATTGGTACAAGGTGAGTGTACAAGAACTAAACTGATAAAAGTGGAGTTATCACCAGAAATAAGGCAACACTTGTGGCACAAAGTTAAACTCATATTCAAGGGATAGATTTTGATGAGACTTTTTCTCCATGCCATACCCCAAATTTGTCCGCCCTTAGTGCTACCGTCAAATTTATTTTCGAACTTGGGTTTTAAAATTCCTTTGGTGTAATTACATTAATATTTTGGGGTTTTATAAATATCCGTTCTCAAGTCCAGTTAAAAATATAATAATTTATTTCAAATTAATTTTATTTTTAAATAACAACTACTTGCTCGTCTTCATGTATTTTTAATTGGCTCTTTATTTTGAATAAGTAACATAGCACAATTGGTAAAGAATGAAGCTTGCAAATATGAGGTCGCGGGTTTGAATCTCTTATGGTGTACTTTTTAATATTTTTTCTATTTCTTTTTGTTACTAATTTTCTTTCCTTTTTTGAAAATCGGGCTTGGGCTTTTCATATATTTTGGATAACTTAGTCTCTAAGTTTTTTCTAATCTAATTCAAGTCTATAAATTGGACTCTTATTTTCCTAAAAACTCATCCACATTTTTACAATCTCTCACAATTTCACTCATTCACACACACTTCATTTTTTTTTTTTTGCAAATTTCTTCTTCTTTCAAAATTTTCTTTTTAATATTGTTGGGGATATTTTTGTTTTGGCCAATGATTTCATATGGGCCTCCCTCTAATTTTCAATTCTACTTTTTAATTGGTTTGTTATTCTAACCATATGATGATGATGATCTGATGGTCTAGTTGTTTTCAAAAATTATTTCTTGATAAAACTAGTTATTCTCTCAATTCACAATTGCACACAGACCACACACATTCAATATACACCGTCCAAATTTGTACACAATTATGGAGAATTTATGCTTTTGGTTTTGGCTCACCTTACTTGTAAATATCATAATAAATTCATGTAAATATATGATTTATCGCTACTCTTTTATTTACGTTAACATTTTCCTAACTTATATGTGATTGCAACTTATGATGTTTGTTATTAGTATTATCTTGGTAAATATACAGGATATCCCTAATTTAGTTCTTAGAAAAAATAACCAATTAGTTCTTGAAATCAATTTGTGTTGAAAATCTTATATACAACATCATCATTGCCTCAGTTCATATATCATTATTACTCTAATATTTGATATACTGTATCTACTGCCAACTAACAAATTGCAGAGTTTATAAATTTTATCTCTAATGAACTTTGATTTCTACTTTATCCAATCACTACCAACAAAGAGAAAAAAATAAACTATATCACAAATCAAAAAAACAGAAACAGGAACCAGCTCGGCCGCAAAACCTGCCAGTCTTAATCAACATCATGGAAAATAACATTATAACAAAACATCACAAGCTGATCAGATCCCTCCACTGATGCAGCCATCCCACCTTCAATCGGCCTTTGTCGATGCCACCACAAGATCCGATGAATCTGGAGTCTGGCAGTGAGAACTGCACACACAACTCAGCCGGTGCAAACATCGACGAGAGCCCTCCGTTTCGCACAGAACAACAAAGTCTCCGGAGATCCATCATCGAAACTGCCATGATCTAATCGTCTCCCCTTTAAATCCAGAGACAACCGCAGCCGCCTCTGCGCAACCATCATGATTCCACTCAGTTTCGCAAAGTCATTCTCCGTCAGTATCCTTCAGTTTTTTTTTCATTCTGCTTTTTATTCATGTGGTTTGATTAAGACATGTTTGGTTAAATGAGTTTGTGTATAAGATTTATGGGTGTTGGTTTTGTTTGGAAAAAAATTGAAAAGAGGGATTGTGAAGGTAGAAGAAGGAATACCGTGAGGGAGGAAGAGATAATTTGGGATCAGTAATTTTTCTCTCTGTTTTATTGTTACTTATATTATTTCTATTATTATTATTATTAGTTTATTTTTAGTTTTTAGGATTAACTTTAACAAATATTGAAATGGGCCTTAGGCCATATATTGATCTAATAGTGACACCCCTTGTTAATTTAGCACCACCTTTAATTTAGTTATTTCTTTTATTTATTCATTTATTTAATTTCTCTAAAAAATATATATCATTATAAAAATACAAAAAGTATTTAATTTCAACATATTACCAGTAATTGAATTTCACATCCTCGAGTAATTAGTGGTAGACTTAACGTTTACCAATTAGTTATTCAAAATACAAAATATATTTTATTGAATTATTCAGTTAAATCGATTTTCTAATTAATTCAAACCTTTTTCATAAATTAAGTTAATTCAATATCTTACAAAGATATTAAAAATCATGCAATTCATCAGTGGACGACACGTGGCCAATATCTGGCCACGTGATGAGAAAAATTTATCAGATTCCCTCCGCATCCTCCATGATGGGTAATGTATGGCCAATATCTGGCCAGGTGATGAAGAGACTATATCAAACTCTCTCGCTTTATGCCCTACCATACGCATCATCAATTCAAAATTCAAGACAACTAACCAACGATCAAACCATTTTTTTACTAACCTAATCAAAACCCTAAGATATTTTCGAAAAAGGATTAAGGAGAATTATTTTCAAATTAACTGCGAATTATGTCTACACTCACATGATTTTTAACCCAGACAGGGTTCAAGGTTAATTCAAAAGCAATTCTACACAATCTTATAAAAAACACCAACCAAACTGCAAACTACAAATTGAGACTCTGATTCCTCATAAGAGGATACGTAGACATACGACTAGAATCGAGTCCAAAAAACATAGAATCTCTAACTTTTAGGATTATCCTTTTATATTCCCTTCCTTAGGATAAAAATTAAGGGTGGTGACTCTTATTTTAAAACAAGTTACAACAACTGACGACTCTGTTGGGGACTCAACCCTAGGTTTAGAAGCCTTGTCTTTTTTTTAGGGTTTTTCTTATTTTTTGGGTTTTTTATATTTGTTTATTTAACTATTTATTTATTCATTTATTTATCTATTGTTATTTTTATCATATTGTTATATTTGTATTGGAATTTAAATTTTGCAAAAAAAAATTTCAAAAAACCCTTAGAAAGAAGGTTCGTCTATTAGCCAAGGGGATACATCATCCCTATGAGTTTATGTGACGACTTCGCCTAGAGTCAGTGGAATTTCGCGAAAGAAATACATCTCAAGAGACATCCTCTTAGGAAGTAGGACTTTGGAATGACACCTATGACTCTTTGTATAACCTTCAAACGAAAATCTCATGATGAGACCTTTCATGACCTAGAGACGAAAGTTTCGGTTTGCAAAGAGGCTCCACTTGAGGGAGGCCCTTGTGTCTTTCCCTCTAGTGTTATTCATGATACCCTTAATGAAACCATCTTATGGGGAGGGTAGAATATCCGTAGGCCAATACTAGGAACCTACCAACTAAGGATACCTCTCACAAATCCCACTACAATCCCTAAACCCACAAGGATTATCTTTTCTTCCACTACTATCTTTAGCCTGTAGGGCTTCCGTCTATGTCATAATCCCTAGCTTGTAGGGATTTCTCGTCGTATTTCATTAGGCTATAATCCTAAAGAAATTCCTGCATTTCTCAATCTTTGAGATAATGTAGGATATCATTAAATTCATGTCTATCGTTACCTACGTCCTTAAGGAGTTCCTGGTTGTCTCAATCTCTGAGTCAGTGTAGGATATCATCATTTCCATATCTACCATTAAACCTGTATAGGTTATCCCTACGTCTACCCTCATACTACGTCTGTATTGCATTGCATATCCATGAAATTTTTTGCATACCCTAAATCCAAAAAATTAATTTTGCATACCCATGCATTTTCGTACATTCATACATTTGCATGTCATGCATTTCCACCTTCGCCCTTGGTCGCTATCAGTCCGGCTAACAAATTTCCCGATGCTCAAGAATAAAGTCCAAGCATTTCAAGAAAATCTTAGATTCATGAAGGAAAGGTCAAACGTTGGAGATTCAAAGGAGCTTGGTCCTACAAATCTTATTGTGGAGAGAAGGCAGCCCTTCACTATACAAGCCTATGCAACGCCTCAGTTTCAAATTTCATTGGTGATTCCCCCATTGCCCTATCAACATAATTTGTATGCCTGAAGAGAAGTCAAGGGTCATCCCCATGCTTTGATAAGTCCAAAAACTACGAAGCATCTCTTGAAGTCACGTGGAGTTCTTCCATAGGATCATTAGGCTTTATCAGTTACAAATTGTAATTTCCTAGTTGCTAAGTTTCATTTGGTGTAAATTTGTATCTTTGGGTCAGTAATTCTAATAAAATAATCATGCATGTTTTTGAAATCAATTCATTCGTTTCACTCTTCATATTTCATTACTTTCCATAAATAATCAACGACTTTCCATTTCCACTCTTCTTTTCCATTTTCAAATTTTATTTAACAAACTTTGAGTGAGAATGATGCAAATTAAATAACTGAATTTTACTAAAATATGTTTTCAATGGTAAGACCGAGCTGATGATGTAAGGCATTGTTTCAATTCCTAAACAGTAGAGAAATAAGGAGTTAATCCGTAGTCAACCCCCTCGAGCCAGGAGTTAGAGTTTTGTTCTATTTTTCAAAAAAAAAACCTTAAACTTAACCAGGGGTAGGGTAGTCTTTCAATTAATTCAATGGCGCATTCTATTCTCAAGAGAAGTGATTTATCTAAACAAATGGTCCAAGCATATCTCTTTCCTTGATACATAATTAAGGAAACGATCTAAGCAAAGGTTCAAAACGATTCCTTTTCCTCGCATTCATCATCCAAGATTGAGGAATCAACGAAGATAAAGTCCACGACGTCTTCTTCCTCAGTACATCAATCAAGATCGAGGAAAAAATGAAGACGAAGCTTACAACAATCAGAATGACAATCACAAGTGTCAAAATCGAAAAGCAAAAATAAATTCAAAAGAAAAAAAATAAAGCCCTCTAAGTCAAGTAAAAATTGAAGAAAAAATACTTGACTTGGGCAAAAGGTAGGGCATCCCGATGGATCAAAAAATTCAAAAGAACCGGTCCATGCAAAAATAAGGGATTGAAAACAAAATTAGAGAACACTCTTGTGATTGACACCTCAAAAATCATCAAGGGATCTTATCAATGCTTATATCTTATCAATACTTTTCATCGATATTTGGATCTTTATCTACGCTTCTCATCATCTGTATGACTACAAAATTTCTCTTGGAGATTAAACGCATCTGTTGCACTAATGGAAATTAGGACTGGAGAATATCAAGGAGAATGGGGCGGGCTAAACAAATTTTGATCCTTATATATTTTGTTTCTTAGACCATGAACCATGGCCATGTTACAACGTTCAAAAGTCCTAATTGAAGCAAGGTTAACTATGAAAGCATACTCGACAAAATTTGCATTAAACTGACTCCCGTATTTGTTAAAATTATTACTAACCACTTCTTCAAATCTCCATCTCTAATAATCCATTTCTATTCAAACTTCGATTTCAAAACTTGCATGTGCATCAAATGGAATTACTTTTTCAAAATGTATAATTTTATCTATGAATCAATACTTAGCATCAAGGATATCTATAAAAAAATGGTTTAATCAAAAGCGATCCATTTCAGGGGGAAAAGCATCTAAGGAAGAACCCTATAATCATAGGCAAGACTAATGATCATAGGGGTATATCACATGAATATACTATAGACAAAGGGTGATCATTCTGAGATTCAATCAACTTGGATCAAGTTTCAAAGCACTGTTCAATCAGGGGCATACCTTTCGAAGGAGCATTCCTTAATCAAGTCATATCACAACAATGTATGGCTCGGTTTCCTTGTTTTAACAAACCTCTCAAGGCCTTGATAATCAGGGGTAACCTTCCAAGATTCAAACGTTGGGGCAGTACGTACCAAGTTCATCCTACTGCACGTAGGGTCCAAATTCCCCTTCAAGCAACTTCAAGTGCAAACTTTTCAAGCTTCGAATACTTGGGGAAATCTATGTCAAGTTCATGGTGAGGTCTAAGTTCTTTATGAGGGTACTTCCTCCAGATCCTGGAGATTGAGAGGCACATCTTTCAAAATTCAAATGTAGGGGAAAACCACTGCGAGGCTCGATCAAAAGGAGTTGATTTAAAATGGTTCATCAAAGCCAAACATTTTCAAGAATTTTTTAATCAGGGTCATAGTGAAAAATAGTAGGGTCATTCATATTATGATCAAACTATTTCCAAGCTCATATCAATGAGAAACTCTCTAAGACCCTACCAACAAATTAGGGAAAGACAATCCACATAGGGGCAAGCTCTCCATGTACTTTCATAATCTCCGATGGATATTTCTCCCACATTAGCAATCTTCAAGTTCAAATTGAGTATCGAGAAATCGTGATAGCATAACATTCAACCATCATGTGACAAGCAACCTTGTTGCATAAGCAAACCTCTACGCTTTAATCATCCATGACCCATCACAGAGGCACTATTCAAAAAGTATTCGAGTCATAATCCTAAAGCATAAGGCTGCATAAATCATGCATTAGGGCTCTTTGATCCAGAATCAAGTTATACATATCATCTCATCCATCTGACGACTTCTGACATCATGGATCAAA